GCGTATGAACCGACTATTTGTCACCGGTTACTATGAGACTGCATCTCCTGACGTTGCTCCACTGCCTTGTGGGTCAGACCTGTAGGTCGAAGGCTCAAGGTGTGGTCACTTAAAAAAACCATCTGTTTCTGTTTGATCACCCGGATAGTATCCCATCCCTCACAGAAATCGATTGACAAAGTGTGGTGCATATATATGTGGTGCCTCCTTGTACCTATGTTTATGTGTTTAAATAATAATAATAAATCTTATCCGGTGAATCTTACAGCACCTACTATAACAGTCTAGATTAAAAGGTTGAAATGGTTTCAACAGTACTACTTCTCATTGTCCGCTTTTTAGTACATATAACGTTGCTATCGTAAATCCTTCGGAATATAATCAATATTGAAACAACTTTAGATAAGATGATGGTTGTAGGTAGTCAGCAGGAAACCTTGGACCCAGGTTTCGTGCTACTTAGCACTCATCAGCAAGGTGTGCCTGTAATCTTGAGGGAACTGATACTCCTTGACGGATTCGATCCCTTGTCATCCAGCTTCACAGTTAGTGACGTTACCACTGAGCTATCTAAGCATTCAGTTTTTGTCGTCTTGATTTCATAAACAACACCTTCACCACAAGAAGGTAGTGAGCAGAACTTCCTTGTCAATAATTGTATGCATGTGGCCATGTAAGAGCACTTCTAAATGCAGAGCTAACTATCTCTACTCTTGCCAGTACCAGAGCATTTGAGGGCTACCAATCTAAGGTGATTCTGTTCAATACCAAGATATCTTCTATCCAAAACTGTTCAAACTTTATTGAATTTCTAAACTATCAATGATTGGTAAATCATAAGCTTTATTAATAACTAATATGCTTATTCAGCATCTCACATGATATAAAGAAATAATCACTGTTTCTCTTTACTTCTTTACTATTACATATCATCATTATCTAATATGATTTGATTATGAGTGAGTTAATCTTGCTAGTAGGTATACAAGACATGTGACTATTTGAGAAGAAGAAGAAGAAGAAGAAAAAACAGTGAAGAAAGAATGATTAGAATACTACTGAATAATATACTTCTAGGTTAAATCAATACTCTGAGATATTTCATTGAAATTTGTATGTTCACATTAAAGTGGTCTTAATCATGAATATTGGCTGATATATTGTATATAAGTAGTATATTTAAAATAAGGGAATTTTTTCAAATATTTTGTGTCAGAGATTTAATGATCTTTATTATTCATATCAGAATGGTTTTTGTGGATATTATAGTAAGTTCAGTAGTTGAGATCATGAGTCAATTGAAACTAGATCACCATGGAAAGTCTGGAAGCACTGGACGGTCGTTTCGTCGTAGTATGGGACTCCTCAGCAGTCAGTATCCACGATACCGCCTTGTTAGAATTGAACCCAGGACCCATCAGTAGTAGCTCAGTGGTCTAATGGTTGAGCGCTCGTGCGCAAGACTGATAGATCTTGGGTACGAATCTTGCAAGACGGGTTCGTAGATGCTCGTTGCTGACGAATCCTACAGCGGGAAGAAACGGCCGTCCTGTGCCTACAGGTTTTCCATGGTGGTCTAGCTTCACTTGATGCATGATCTCAACCGTAAAGATATTTATTATTGCTGAATACTGGATTAATTGATGGTTTCCCCTGAAGAGTGAGATTTATTCAAAACTTATTTTACTTCTGACCAGTTAATTAACATTTTCACTAATCATGAACTGAGTTTGTGTACTAACCTGACATTTTACTATTATTACTTACTTAGTTACTTACACCTGTTTCCCCTCGTGGAGGAGTACAGGCCTTCCATCAGCATTCTCCATCTAAATCTGTCCTTGACAATCCTTTCCACGTGTTTCCAGTTGTTATTCATTCTTTTTATGTCTGTTTCCAATTCACGACGGATTGTGTTCTTTGGCGTTCCACTTTTCCGTTTACCTTAAGGATTTCAAGTTAGGACTTGCCTCGTGATGTAGTTTGATGATTTTGACGGCTTATATCCTATCCACTTCCAACGTTTTTTCTTGATTTCCTCTTCAGCTTGTATCTATTTTTTTTGTCACACAGTATGTCATCGATGCCATTCGGTCATCGGATATTGAATATCTTGCGTAGAAAACTGTTTATAAATACTTCTACCATTTTGATGATTGTTGTAGTAGTTCTTCACGTTTCAGCTCTCTACAATATAACTAACTGTCTTGGTGTTCATATTGAAGATTGTTACTTTGATATTGTTTGATAGTTGTTTTGACTTTCATAGGTTATTCAGCTGTAGTAATGCGGCCCTTGATTTACCAATCCTCGCATTCATATATGCATCAGATCTTTTTTTGTTTATCAATGATGCTTCCCAAGTGCATGAAAGATTCCACATCTTCCAGAGTTTCTCCATCCAGTGTGATTAGGTTGGTGTTCACAGTGTTGTATTTGAGGATCTTGCCTTTTCCTTTATGTATATTGGGGCCTATTGATGCAGAGGCTGATATTTTACTATAACTTGCAATCAATTATTGAAGAACGATCAGTTTCTTGGTCTTTTAATATTTCGTGTTTACGGTAATAATGAAAAATAGAAAATCAATCGTATTGGAATAACAGGTTTAACGAATTATTCTTTTGGACTCTGTGGATGATTGGAAATTCATGTCGTGGAAAAGTCTCCGATACTTTTCTAGCCGATGTTAGTGATATAAATTGGTAATAAGCATTTCGATAGGTTATTGATAAGCTAAATACAGGGTAAACTACATAATACTATCTCCTTTAAATTTCCCTCACTTGGAATCTTCAAGGTCAAAGGAGATGAGGAAGACCAAAGAACACAAGACACAGAGAAATGGAAACAGACATGAAAAGAAGGAACAACAGTTGAATAGAACTAGAAAGGAAGGCCAAGGAAACAGTGGGTTTGAGAATAATGGCCGACGGCCCATGCTCCATTAGGAAGTAACAGGCATAAGTAAGTAAGTTAAATTTGCTTTAATCAATAATTGATAGACATGCTCTTGTGTGTAGGGGTATTCTCATAGTAACTGTGCATTATTTCATTTGTGTGAATATATTTATTGTTTTATTTATCTTTTAACAACGTTTTTATCTAGTCATTTGGAGCAACGTCAGGAGATGCAATCCCATAGTAGGCAGTGACCAACGATTGGTTCATACGCTATTTGTTCGCTCTGGATTCTGGAACCCATGTGCACCATTGATTTATAATGTTTTCCAACACATATACGTGGAATCACTGTGTCCACCAAACTGGTTAAAACTCCGAATATTTGCTTTTTTTCTTGTCGATTTCGTAAACAACACCCCCATATAAACAAGAAGGCTATGAGAATTAGCACTGAACTATACACCACTACTTTATTTCCATTAAAAGTCATCCATTTTCGAATGTTTGTAAAGTTCTAATTAAACCAATGTATTTCGTTTTTCCAAAAAAAAGACATTGAGTCTCTTTTAATCAGACTGGCATCATCTTTGTTTTGATCAACCCAACAAATGACTAAACAAAGAAGTATTTAGCTCATGTATTACCCTTACTTTACGGTTATGTCTAGTACAAACCATAGTAATTATTACTTCTGTTACTATGATTTTAACCAATTGATAAGTAATGTGAGTCATTGAATTGACCTTAAAGTTATATGATAGTCATACACATACATGCATACATACATACATACATACATACATACATACGTACGTACGTACGTACATACACACATACATACACTCAGTAACACTGGACAATTGAATTGTATCGGTCATTGTAAAAATTGCTTCAAATCTGAGATATAGGTACATCCAGCTGATGAGTCCCAAAAAGGACGAAACGCGCGTTCTTGATTCCACCACTAACCATAATCCATCTTTGTTTATAATACATGTGACTGAAGGTAATATCGAGGCAATTCGAACAGGATGCACATATGCGAACAACAGACTGATCAATTGCAGTCCTAAACAACAATGGGAAGATACAAATAAAGAACACCCAGTGAACCAATATTTACTCTTACGTCCCACCTCAAACATCTTAACCAACATTAAGGTGTGAAAATGTTTACTGCCAAATCCCATCGACATGGTGATGAAGATTTGTAGCTCAGGTGGATTATCTTCATGGAGTAGAAGTTTGTGTTGATGATGTCGTTCAGAAGAACGATGAAACCTCCACAACCAAACTATCCAGCTCGAAGAATAAGACTCCATCGAATATTTACTTTAAAAAAAAAAACAAATCAAACCTGAAGGCTGGGTAAAACTGGGAAAAACAAAGGGAAAATGCTTTTATCTATCCATAATCATGGTAACTGGCATATCATGTGAGTCATTGAATTGACCTTAAAGCTGAATTCTTTCCATAGACATGCACACACACATATGTATCGGTCATTGTATTGTGTATTAGTTGCTTCTATTTATTTCCTACTGTGTTTAGACCAATTATAATCCTATTCACATTCCCATTCAATTTTTTCTTTCTATTCCCTTCTCCTAGTTCTTCTATTCAATGTTGTAGGTTGTATATGAAAGAGAGAAGAAACAATAGACCAATCATTCATATTCTACAAGGTAATTGATTATTGATTATTGTAAAAGATTATTTAAACAATCCATTTGGTCAATTCCAAATGAGGGAAGTCGAGTGATAAACATCACTCGATGTGATGTTGTTCAGTATGGTGAAATACACCAGTTGGCTTCTATGATGGAATGAATGTAGAATGAAATGGGATTCATCCAAATTGAAGATTTGGGATTCATACAAACAATCATCGGATCATTTAATGGATGAACAATCTTAATTGATCTATTCCACTATTCTTCTTATTATTATTATCATTATTATTATTGAAGGCGTAATGTGCAATAATAAGGTGAGATCATTTGATTCCACACAGTGTGTGTGTGTGTGTGAATCATGATCACCTTTGTAAACACAATCTCTATCATCATACATAAATCGATAATTCCATATATTTATGGGTATGTTCTAATTGTTTTCATTTCACAAACGGTACTTTCTATTCTCCTCATCAATTGATTTCGAGTGCTTGATCTGGTCAAATTGAATTCATATTCTTCTATATGTGATCACGATGGTGATGATGATGGTGACTTGTTACTATGGACTATTGAATGTGATTTCATTTTTGTTTCATTTTTATATTCTTACATGATTTTCATCTATGGAACTTGTTGTCCATGGAAACCAGCTTTCTCTCATGATCTCAATTGTACACAAACTAATTCATCAAGTTGATATGATCATTGTCTACTGTGAACCGATACTCATGTTACCATGACAATTATACTAATGATTCATGGTTCATTCTTCTTCTTCTTTTCTTTTCTTTATATAATCAATAAAGTAGTTACTTTCTGAATTAAGTTTTCTTCTAAATTGTAAAGATGTCAAGGATTGTTCTTGAGTTTGAACAATGAAGAGTGATTTGTTTATACGATATTGTCTATTTATTGAGAATATCTGAGATGTTGTGACGTAGGTCAGAATAGAAGTACATAGAATGAAGACTGGATTAATCGATTTCGATGATGAAGTGTCTTGTTCTCTAGGTAGATTTCAAGTGACAATTCTTGTAATAGTTGAATATTGTCATTCAACAGTTGTATTAAACACTTTCATCTTTCGATAAGTATTATGATCTAAGCAACAAACCAAACAACAGTCAGTAGTATCTTACTAATCAGATAAGCCCTCAAATGCCCCGGTACGACCGAGGGTGTGGAGAGTCCACTCTCCCTCTATAAATGCTCTCACGTGGCCACGCGTATACATCCACTACCAGGGAACTCCTACTCACTGATTTGTCGCAGCAAGGGTGTCGTTTATGAAATTAAGAGAATGAAAAGAGAGTGTCCGTTTCTTTAACCAGGTTAGTGGATTCAGTGAATCTACTTAAGGAGGTAGGAAAACCCTAATCCCAAACAAATGATCTGCATGGGCTTCAGGATCCTGAAAGAACAAATGGTGAATGAGTCTATATTCGTGCTCATCGGCTAGCATGGGACTGAATCTCCTGACGTGGCTGCACTACCTTGTGAACTAGACTCTAAGGTCAAAGGCTACAGATGTGGCCTCCTAATATAACCACCTACTACGGTCTGGCCTTTTGAGCAGTGTGTGGCTCATCTTTTCATTCTACATTGAGACAATGATCATCTGATAAACCTTGAATAATCCTTAATAAAATAAGTGAGCTTACTTATATGATTTATCACAATACAAACATGACATATCTCTTGAAGATGATGTCATTGATTGAAAAATTCTGTCCAACCTTATGTTGATCACTATGTATGATTTTGGGGAACATTTCAATACATCTATATGAATAAGGGATCTTCGTACTCCACTCCTCTCAAGACGACGACACTCATTGATGACTTGACATTTCAGTCAGTTGTGTTATATGAATATTATTCCATACAATTCAACTTTACTTCGTTAATATTCTTCGGTTATATATAAAACGAATTACAAGCATCTAGTTACAACATCATAGTAGATCTTTTCTAAAGGTCTACTGTATATTATAGAGGAGACATCGAAAGTTCTATTTGACTTCAAGTACTAGTTTGACTTGTCAACTTCTTCAGAAATAGATTTAATCCGTTAAACAATCATCCAAATTAGTGAATGTTAGTTCGAGAATTAAAGATATTACATTAGATAGAAGCATTGATCTTATTATTAAATACATATATTCTTGTGTCATGAGATTAGATGGTGGTTGGAGGTAGTCAACAGGAAACCCTGGACCAGGGTTTCGTGCTACTTGGCACTCATCAGCAAGGTGTACCTGTAATCTTGAGGGAACTGGTGCTCCCTGGCGGATTCGACCTCGTGTCACCCAGCTTCACAGTCAGAGACGTTACCACTGAGCTATCCGAGCCGCGGCTAACCTCCTGTAGGACTGAGATGTAATCACAATTGATTGATCACTGGGTGGTGATCAATCTCATGCTTGTCTATTCCTTATTAGTGCAGATTGAATGCTATCGATCATGTTGCAATGTGGCCACCAGTCTAGGTGACTCGACTCGACAAGCATGAGATTGATCACCACCCAGTGATCAATCGATTGTGATTCTTGTGTCAACTAACAATTAAGTAGTATATTCTAACCGTGGATACAATAATCGAATTCTTAAAACTGTCAATTACTATATAAGCAAAGATGAATAGTGGCTCGCAATGGAATCCAGTTTGACGTGCATTTCGTCCCATTTGGGACTCGTCAGATGGATGCACCTGTCACATCTCAGAGTTGATGTTCACTCTGGGACTCGAATCCAGTACCGTTCACTCCGAACGTCAGTTACTTTTATTTATTTTTTCAGAAACTATTCGATTGCATAATCAATTGATTAATTATCCTCTGAAATCTATTTAATTGGTGATTTACAATTAAACTATTCTGTTCCGTTTTGATATATTGTTACTAAGGTTACAATTTTAGCTGTGGATGGTATGAAGGCACAAAGTAGTTCTTGTTTGATCTTTTGTTTCAATAATGATGGATATTGTGAATGGCTAAATATCTCAGTCCGTCTCTCTCTCTTTCATGATTATTTTTTTTCATATTGATCATGGTTATGTGAATTATGGTTAACAGTGGAATTCATGATGTTCGTTTACGATTAGTGAACTAAGTATACATGTATTACGTTTTAGATGTTTACACCGAGACTTGAATCCAATGCTTTTTGCTTGAAATGACTAACATGTTATGCAAAAGAGATGCAAATACCGACAACTAGATAACTTAAACCAGGATACTGGAGCCTACATTCACCGTTGGTTTCGGATGATAGTTTTCCAAGTCCCAGAGGTGAATGCTCCGTGCGTACGAACCCGGTTGAATCGACAGACATTCGCTTTTCGTAAAGAACAGTAATGCCGCGAGCAGACATTGAGTAGAACTTCTCTGGTAGTGGCTGTATACGCGTGTTTATGTGAGAGCATTTGGAGAGGGAAAGTGGACTCTCTCTACCCTCGACCGTACCAGGGCATTCGGCGGCCTGTATGTCAGGTTCTTCTTAGTGCAGACCGAATCCTATCGACCACGTTTCATTATAGCCACTAGGTTAGGTGACTCGACATTGCGTGCGCCATGTTGAGATAGTTGGAGGTAGTCTATAGAACCTGAAAAATATGACATTGATAAGCACCCAGTGATCAATCAGTTGCAAATACTTCTCAGTCTTACAAGAAATAGGTATCTACCTCAAACTATGGATGAATGGTTGAGCAACCAATCACGGGGGCGATTGAAGTGAGATATTAATACCGTTGGATGCTGATCTAGAGGTGATCTGGAGGTTAAGCGTTCGCACGTGATACGGAAGGTCATGTGTTCGAGTCCTGCATGATGGATCGTGGGTATTAACTGCTCAAAAGTCCCATATGAGGATGAAACGACCGTTCAATGCTTCCAGGTCTTTCATAGTGGTCTAGCTTTCATCAACTCATGATCTCAACTATTAAAATTACTATAATATCCACAAAACTCCTCTCTGTTTAAAATGTTTTTTGGTACAATAATCAAAGGTCATTAAAGGTCATAGAGGTGTAAAAAGTAGATAAAGTGATATAACGAGTAATTATGAATAAGATAATGAGAATATGAGACATAAGTAAAGGGAGATATGTAGTAATAATAGTAATAATAATTAAGGCCTAAGTATCGATAACGATAGGATTTACTTCTTTTATATGCATAGTTCTGGCTTGTGTTCATAGATGGCAAGAGGTTTGGCTATTTTTAGGAGTTGGATACGAAGAAATCTAGGTAGATCTTGACGAATCGTATATATAACCATCAAATCAAACTGTGAATTAATAGAAGGATTACAGTCAATTAGATGGTCAAGTATGGAACTTCTAACTGTTTTCCTCTCACCCTTGTAGAACCAAACTGGGACGTGTTCCTGTATCCGAGTTGAAAGCGAGCGCTGGCTATGGCAAATGTATCTTGCTCCAGAAGAGTAGATAAAATCGTAGATGCACATGGAGGTGACTAGACTGGGGGTGAGCTTATCCTTTATGGATATATAAAACAAGTTTCTACTAGTGAACGTTATTCTCAGTTTTGCGGCATTAAATGTTCTATCAGTCGGTGTCGTTAAACGGTTTTTGATTACGTCATATGTTCCATCACCTTTAAATTCCTTTAGTTTTCTCGACTCATACTTTGAAGCTTTTAAAGTTGAATTCAATAAGAACAAAAGTAACGGAGATCTCAGTTCATAACTACTTGGAAACACAACTGTCAGGATACACGAGTGAACTAAACTTATTCAGTAGAAATCTATGAATCTATATTTCCCAATAGGTACCATTTAGACATTTTAAATGATCTTTAAGTAATAATCTAACTTTTAACTAGATTACTTCAGTGTTTATTTGCTTTTATTAACCATCCACAAAACTAAATTCAAATAAAGACAATTCAGAACTTAGTTGTAAATTGACTTGGTATTGTTTACTTGAATCTTCTCATTGATGTTCAGGACTGAAATTGATCAATCTCTTGTTGATATATGTGTATACTGTGTGTATTGCTTAGATATTGCCTTAAGTTGTAAGATTTATAAGTAAATATGGGTTCGAGTCTCGGCTATTGAGTTCCAAACAGCACTAAATTCGCGTCCTTGATTCCACTTACTTACTTACTTACGCCTGTTACTCCTCGTGAAGGAGCATAGGCCACTCACCAGCATTCTCCATCCAACCCTGTCCTGGGCAATCCTTTCTAGCTCCGTCCAGTTGTAATTCATCCTTTTCATATCTGCTTCTATAATCCGACGCAATGTGTTCTTTGGCCTTCCTCTTTTTCGCTTCCCTTCAGGGTTCCAAGTTAGGGCTTGCCTCGTGATGCAGTTTGACGATTTGCGTAATGTATGTCCTATCCATTTCCATCGTCTTTTCCTAATTTCCTCTTCAGCTGGAAGTTGGTTTGTTCTCTCCCACAGAAGGCTATTGCTGATGGTATCCGGCCAATGGATGTTGAGTATCTTGCGTAGACAGCTATTTATAAATACTTGTACTTTCTTGATTGTGGTTGTTGTAGTTCTCCAAGTTTCAGCTCCATACAGTAGAACTGCCTTGACGTTCGTATTGAAGATTCTCACTTTGATATTGGTTGAAAGTTGTTTTGAGTTCCATATGTTCTTCAATTGTAGGAATGCGACCCTTGCTTTGCCGATCCTCGCCTTTACGTCTGCATCTGAACCTCC